CCTTCCTGAGCGGTGGCTGAAACTGCTCTCAGCCGACAGAGAAACTGACCCTCAACTGCCAAAGCCAAGTCTGAAACCCAGCCAGGGCTTCTCTCCAGCCCTTGCAGTACTGGCCACCAGCATCCAGTGACCGCAACGCGCCAGCGTTTCTACCACTTTCCTTAAAACAAAAGGAGACCACACGCTGACAGTACGTTATTAGCGTGGCCCCCCCCCCCCCAAAGCAAACCGTAGCTAGCTGCTCAAACAAATCACTGAAAAACGAATTCTAATAGAGAGAAAGATGTGATGTATATAAGTAGTGAGATTTAAATTTGAACAGGCCACTGCTCAAAAGACCGTAAAAATTTAACAGAAGGGTATCTTCTCATTGAACCATGGCAACTCAGAGAGATCCTTTATCTGAGTTCACTGTTTATTCGTCCGTCCTCTCACTGCCACCGCGTCTCCGCGTGTGCCACACGCACTTCCAGTCTGGTTCTCGCCAACAAGCAAACCCGCTCCACAGCGGCCTCGGAGCGAAGACCCGCGTGTCACAAACTGCTGTTGATGAAGGGCCTACTTGTGGGCTTTTTTTTTGGTTTCTTTAAAAATAGTGCCAGGATATGTTTGAAGTCTCAAAGATTTGAACAATGGACAATGGAGATGACTCTTTATAAAAGCTGATTTCATTAATACAAAGTTGCAAAATAGAAATTACAGCTGAGTTGAGAAGCCTTGGAAAACGTAGGCTGTTGATTGCCAACACGAGCAGCGCTGATTGTCGGAGCAAGAGCTGGCACTTCTAACGTGGGCATCGGGAGAAAATCGCGGCGTTCTCGCTTTCCCTCCGAGGGAGCCCACGAGGCTGGGAGCTTTGGCAGCTGGAAAGGGCGTTGCCAACTCAGACACAGGTTTCCCGCATGGGACTTTCCTGACTTGGTCTTCGTTATTATTTGGGACTCAGTGATTCTGGAACCTGCTTGCCCTTTGAACATGAAGGGTTTGCCCCTGGCTGGGACGTGTCCCTGAGCAGGGGGCATCACCCCAGCAGGCGTCCCGTGAACAGCCCCTGTTCGCCCGAATCCCGGGGCGTGCACCAGTTCCTGCCTGCATAATTTCATGTAAATACATTTGGCCCTGCCAACGTCTGTTTCTGCCAGAGAGGAGTTCACGGCTTCACCCAAAAGACAGGCCCCACATGCTTCCACGTGCACCTGATTGCAGAGGCAACCAAGAGAATCCAAAAATCACTCTAATTTCCTGCACAGTCAGTGGATGGCAGCATTGGGGACGCTGACAGTGCAAGTGGCAGAGGAGTCCAGGGTTCGAGGCTCCAGCCTGACGGGGACCTCAAACCTGTTGGGAACAATTATGGGCTACGTGGGCTACATGGATCTGATTAACTTATGGAGCTGATTAACTATAGGAGCTGAGTAAGGACCAACCCAGAGGAGGAGCTCGGAGGGCCCGTGAGAGCAGAGTGGGAGTCTTTCGGACTGAGCACCAACATGGCGTCCCTCTCCGTTTCTTTAGCTCTTTTAAATTTCAACCCACCTTGTTTTATAGTCTTTACTGCAGAAGTCTTGCACCTATTTGTTACATGTATTCCTACACATTTTAATTTCTATGCTGTAATAAATGGAAATGATTTAATTTTTTGGTCCAAGGTTCATTTTTGATACATAGCAATACAATTAATTTTTGAACTTTGATTTGTATTCCCTGACCTTGTTATATTCACTTATTTAGTAGCATTTTCTGTGGATTACTTAGGATTTTCTTTTTTTTTAAAAAATATTTTTTTATTGATTTCAGAGAGGAAGGGAGAAAGAGAGAGGAGAAAGAGAGAGAAATAGAAACATCAAGGATGAGAGAGAATCATCCATCAGCTGCCTCCTGCACACCCCACACTGGGGATCGAGCCCGCAACCTGGGCATGTGCCCTGACCAGGAATCCAACTGGATTTATAGGTCAACGCTCAACCACTGAGCCACACCGGCCCGGCAGATGCCTTAGGATTTTCTATGCAGATGATCATGTTGCTTGAAACCAAAGGCTGTTTTGGTTCTTTCCAAGCCGCATGCCTTTCATTTCTTCTTCTTACTTGATTGTACAGACAGACCTTTCAGTTCAGTGCTGACTAGACTCGTGAGTGAGCGCTTTGCCTGTCAGCACCCAACGTGCTGTGAGCTGGGAAGCTGTCACAGTGCCGGTTATCAGATTCAGGAAGTCTCCTTTATTTTCAGTTTTCAGAGAGGTTTGTGTTGTCTTTTTGAATCACAAAAAGGATGTTAAATTTTTGTCAAATGCCTTTTCTGAATCAATCGACCTGATCATGCAACGTTGGAAGCATCCTAAGTTACAGCACCAGGGTGTCACCCTCGCGGTGAATGCGAATGTAGCTGTCGGGTGACTGCTCCCCGGGCATTCGACCACATCGGGGGAGTTTTCAGTTGTACCAGAACGCACTTGCATAATGATGCTGGGTTTACAAAAAGGGGACAGGGAGTGATCAGAGGGCCCAGTGCGGACTGAGTATAAACGACACTCGACAGACGTACCATCAGAATAGTCACAGCGTGCTTTATGTGGGGTGACATGATGAGTGACCGCTCCTCCTTGTCCTGCCCTGTGTGCTGCTCTCTAGTTTTCAAACGTTCTCTGATGAGCACGTGACTTTTATAAGGAAATGCCCAGTAAGTGGGCACAACGCCACCTAATCAGCGTGACCCTCACGCGTTTCTTGCCTGTTCTCTTGCTGGAATCTCAGCTTCCTGAGGACACGTACCATCCACCCTGGTGTTCAGAATAGGGCACAGCTCCGAGAGGGTGCTCGAGACTGAATGAATGAGTGACTGGGTGGATGGAAGTTCAAGCTGTACGGTGCTGTTGATGACCAGTGGGCTTGGAGTCTGGCTGGGTTCTGTTCTTGGCTGTGTACCTACTGGCTGTGGAGAGTCGGCCAGCTTTTAAATCCTGAAGCCTCGGTTTTTTTCTCTGTAAAACATACATACCTCCTACGACTGCTGTGAGGACTAGGAGTGGCTATTGTAAAGCACCTCACACATGGGTGGGTCCTGCGAAGTGATACCTATTCCTACGCAGGGCCAGGAAAGGAACCTGCAACCCAGATATATGTGTCCTTGACTGGGAATCAAAACCTGAGACTCTTTGGTGTGTGG